GAAAATACTGGCAGGGTTTGGTGTGGCATTGACCTTGAGTTTTGGAGTTGCAGTTCACCTATAACCAGAGAGCACTGTGGATTCAAACAATGATAGATCTGGACCAAACTTGGCACGAACACTCAGTATGTTCAAATATGAACACTAATGGAGTTTGGGGGAAATAGAAATAGATCTTGACATTTGGGAGTTGTATTTGTTGGGATTTATAGTTCACCAACAATCAAAGCACATTCTGAACCCCACCAATGAGAGATTTGGGCCAAACTTCCCACACAGAAAATAATTTTTTTCCGATGGTCTTTGGTGACCCTCATGACCCCTCAAGGGGTCCCAACCCCCAGGTTGAGAAACACTGCTCTAAATCCCAGCCCTCCTGAAACCACACAAAGAACGGGAGGAAATCACTCCAAATTCTCAATGTGCTGTAATGCTTATCTCTCCAGCTCAATGTATGTTTCCTCTTCTCTTTCCAGGTCTGAAAAGGCAGGATGTTCCACTGTATGACATCTTTGGTGTCCATGAAGCCAATCAGAAAGTCTATTCTAAGAGACACCTTAGACGCTGCCCACATGGAAGCCAACTTGTAGACATTGATGAGATGGAAGCCAACTTCTAGATCCTGGATAGTTGAAAACCAACTTCTAGACATTGACAAGATGAAAGCCACCTTCTAGACATTGACCAGATGGAAGCCACCTTCTAGACATTGACCAGATGGAAGCCACCTTCTAGACATTGACCAGATGGAAGCCACCTTTTATACATTGACCAGTTGGAAGCCAACTTCTACACATTGACCAGGTGCAAGCCACCTTCTAGACACTGACCAGATGGAAGCCACCTTCTAGATGTTGATGAGATGGAAGTCAATTTCTAGATCTTGACCACTTGGAAGCCAACTTTGACTGGATGGAAGCTAGCTTCTAGGCACTAGACCAGGTGGAAGCCGTCTTTAAGACATAGCTGATGGAGATCTTGCTGCGTGCCAGAGACTTCCTCATGATGGGCTATGTGGTCCTGTGGACGTATCACCTGCGGCCCCACAGACTTCCGTGTTGAGTTGGGATCTGGTGCCCCCTCCCTGTTGGCCCCATCCTTCTTCCACCCAAGGATGTGCAACGCAACCCTGGCCAGCTGGAGCTGCCAGGTGGACTCGAAGGTGGACCACCTCTTCCCACCAACGCTCTACATCATCGTTATTGCCATGGGCCTGCCTACCAACTGCATGGCGCTCTGGGCTGCCTACCTGCAGGTCCGGCAGAAGAATGAGCTGGGCGTCTACCTGATGAACCTCTCCATTGCAGACTTGCTCTACATCGCCACCTTGCCCCTTTGGATCGACTACTTCCTCCACTATGACAACTGGATCCATGGGCAGGAGTCCTGCAAGCTCTTTGGCTTTGTCTTCTACACCAACATCTACATCAGCATCGCCTTCCTGTGCTGCATCTCCGTGGACCGCTACCTGGCCGTGGCACACCCTTTACGCTTCGCCAAGTTCCGGCGGGTCAAGACAGCCGTGGTCATCAGCCTGGTGGTGTGGGCCATCGAGATTGGAGCCAACTCGGCCCCTCTCTTCCACGACGAGCTCTTCCACGACCGCTACAACCACACCTTCTGCTTCGAGAAGTACCCCATGGAGGAGTGGGTGGCCTGGATGAACCTCTACCGGGTCTTCCTGGGCTTCCTCTTCCCATGGGTCCTGATGCTCTTCTCTTACCGGGGGATCCTGCGAGCCGTGCGGGGCAATGTCTCAACCGAGAAGCAGGAGAAGGCCAAGATCAAGCGCCTCTCGCTCAGCCTGATCGCCATCCTGCTCTTCTGCTTCGCGCCATACCACGTCATCCTCCTCTCCCGCAGCGCCGTCTACCTGAGCAAGCCCTGCGACTGCGGCTTCGAGGAGAAGGTCTTTGTGGCCTACCACGCCGCCCTGGCCTTCACCAGCCTCAACTGTGTGGCCGACCCCATCCTCTACTGCTTCGCCAACGAAGGGGCCCGCGGGGATGTGGTCAAGGCCCTGGCCACTTTGGTCCGCTTCCTGGCCAGCTCCAAGCCCCAGGAGATGGCCAGCGCCTCCCTCACCTTGGACACCCCACTCTCCTCCAAGAAGAACAGCTTTGCCCGGCAGCCCTCGGCCCTACAGCTGCCCTTGGAATCGCTTGACGCAACGGGGACCAGGGAGGAGGAACTCCAGATGAAGATCTTGACTTTGAACTTGTGAAGGAACCCTTGGCTTTATGTTCCCGGACAATGCACCATTGCACGGGCGACCCCGCCGGGACAGACAGCCCGTAAACATAGTGTTGAGAAAAAAGTAAAGTTATTATATTATTAATATTACAACAATTTGAGGAATAAAATTCCTGTGTGTCAGTATGTTTCCACTGTAGAAGAATCCTAATACAATATGGTCCCCATCACTGTGGTTTTATTTATTGACATCTGACAAAGTTTATCCTTTTCTAGGCATTCCTCTCCAGCGCTATTCTTGGGCCGGAGGTCCTTCATTGCAATAGCTCTGACAGTGTTCCCTCACTTATGGGGGGGGGGGGGTGTTACGTTCCAGGACCACCCGCAATAAGTAAATATCCGCGAAGTAGGGATGCTTAGAGTATATGTACACTATACATACATAAATGAATGTCCCCCATCCGTCCTTCCTCTGTGTCACGTTGCCAGGGCTCTGCCTTATTCAGGCAGAGATGAACCAAACAAATACCCAGTTTGTATTAAGCAGTTTAATGAAAACAGCACTTACTTTCTGGCCGTTTTAATAGTCTAAAACATAAAACATAAAGATTACACTCAGCCACAGAATATGAAACAAAAACAGCAAACAGTATACATACATAAATGTATGTCCCCCATCCATCCTCCCTCTGTGTCACGTTGCCAGGGCTCTGCCTTATTCAGGCAGAGATGAACCAAACAAATACCCAGTTTGTATCAAGCAGTTTAATGAAAACATCACTTACATAAAGATTACACTCAGCCACAGAATATGAAACAAAAACAGCAAACAGTAGACATACATAAATGTATGTCCCCCATCCATCCTCCCTCTGTGTCACGTTGCCAGGGCTCTGCCTTATTCAGGCAGAGATGAACCAAACAAATACCCAGTTTGTATCAAGCAGTTTAATGAAAACATCACTTACATAAAGATTACACTCAGCCACATAATATGAAACAAAAACAGCAAACAGTATACATACATAAATGTTTGTCCCCATCCGCCCTCCCTCTGTGTCACATTGTCAGGGCTCTGCCTTATTCAGGCAGAGATGAACCAAACAAATACCCAGTTTGTATCAAGCAGTTTAATGAAAATATCACCTACATAAAGATTACATTCAGCCACAGAATATGAAACAAAAACACAAACAGTGTACATACATAAATGTATGTCCTCCATCCTCCCTCCCTCTGTGTCACGTTGCCAGGGCTCCGCCTTATTCAGGTAGAGAGGAACCAAACAAATACCCAGTTTGTATCAAGCAGTTTAATGTTTCCACTGTAGAAGAATCCTAATACAATATGGTCCCCATATTTGTGGTTTTATTTATTGACATTTGACGAAGTTTCTCCTTTTCTAGGCATTCTTCTCCAGCGCTATTCTTAGGCCGGAGGTCCTTCATTGCAATAGCTCTGACAGTGTTCCCTCACTTATGGGGGGGGGGGGTTACGTTCCAGGACCACCCGCAATAAGTAAATATCCGCGAAGTAGGGATGCTTAGAGTATATGTACACTATACATACATAAATGAATGTCCCCCATCCGTCCTTCCTCTGTGTCACGTTGTCAGGGCTCTGCCTTATTCAGGCAGAGATGAACCAAACAAATACCCAGTTTGTATTAAGCAGTTTAATGAAAACAGCACTTACTTTCTGGCCGTTTTAATAGTCTAAAACATAAAACATAAAGATTGCACTCAGCCACAGAATATGAAACAAAAACAGCAAACAGTATACATACATAAATGTATGTCCCCCATCCATCCTCCCTCTGTGTCACGTTGCCAGGGCTCTGCCTTATTCAGGCAGAGATGAACCAAACAAATACCCAGTTTGTATCAAGCAGTTTAATGAAAACATCACTTACATAAAGATTACACTCAGCCACAGAATATGAAACAAAAACAGCAAACAGTATACATACATAAATGTATGTCCTCCATCCTCCCTCCCTCTGTGTCACGTTGCCAGGGCTCCGCCTTATTCAGGTAGAGAGGAACCAAACAAATACCCAGTTTGTATCAAGCAGTTTAATGTTTCCACTGTAGAAGAATCCTAATACAATATGGTCCCCATATTTGTGGTTTTATTTATTGACATTTGACGAAGTTTCTCCTTTTCTAGGCATTCTTCTCCAGCGCTATTCTTAGGCCGGAGGTCCTTCATTGCAATAGCTCTGACAGTGTTCCCTCACTTATGGGGGGGGGGGGTTACGTTCCAGGACCACCCGCAATAAGTAAATATCCGCGAAGTAGGGATGCTTAGAGTATATGTACACTATACATACATAAATGAATGTCCCCCATCCGTCCTTCCTCTGTGTCACGTTGTCAGGGCTCTGCCTTATTCAGGCAGAGATGAACCAAACAAATACCCAGTTTGTATTAAGCAGTTTAATGAAAACAGCACTTACTTTCTGGCCGTTTTAATAGTCTAAAACATAAAACATAAAGATTGCACTCAGCCACAGAATATGAAACAAAAACAGCAAACAGTATACATACATAAATGTATGTCCCCCATCCATCCTCCCTCTGTGTCACGTTGCCAGGGCTCTGCCTTATTCAGGCAGAGATGAACCAAACAAATACCCAGTTTGTATCAAGCAGTTTAATGAAAACATCACTTACATAAAGATTACACTCAGCCACAGAATATGAAACAAAAACAGCAAACAGTAGACATACATAAATGTATGTCCCCCATCCATCCTCCCTCTGTGTTACGTTGCCAGGGCTCTGCCTTATTCAGGCAGAGATGAACCAAACAAATACCCAGTTTGTATCAAGCAGTTTAATGAAAACATCACTTACATAAAGATTACACTCAGCCACAGAATATGAAACAAAAACAGCAAACAGTATACATACATAAATGTATGTCCCCCATCCGTCCTCCCTCTGTGTTACGTTGCCAGGGCTCTGCCTTATTCAGGCAGAGATGAACCAAACAAATACCCAGTTTGTATCAAGCAGTTTAATGAAAACATCACTTACATAAAGATTACACTCAGCCACAGAATATGAAACAAAAACAGCAAACAGTATACATACATAAATGTATGTCCCCCATCCGTCCTTCCTCTGTGTCACGTTGCCAGGGCTCTGCCTTATTCAGGCAGAGATGAACCAAACATATACTCAGTTTGTATCAAGCAGTTTAATGAAAACAGCACTTACTTTCTGGCCATTTTAATAGTCCAAAACATAAAAAATAAAGATTGAACTCAGCCACAGAATATGAAACAAAAACAGCAAACAGTATACATACATAAGTGTATGTCCCCCATCTGCCCTCCCCCTGTATCACGTTACCAAGGCTCTGCCATATCCAGGTAGAGATTAACCAAACGAATGCCCAGTTTGTATCAAGCAGTTTAATGAAAACATCACTTACATAAAGATTGCAGTCAGCCACAGAATATGAAACAAAAACAGCAAACAGTAGACATACATAAATGTATGTCCCCCATCCGTCCTCCCTCTGTGTTACGTTGCCAGGGCTCTGCCTTATTCAGGCAGAGATGAACCAAACAAATACCCAGTTTGTATCAAGCAGTTTAATGAAAACATCACTTACATAAAGATTACACTCAGCCACAGAATATGAAACAAAAACAGCAAACAGTATACATACATAAATGTATGTCCCCCATCCGTCCTTCCTCTGTGTCACGTTGCCAGGGCTCTGCCTTATTCAGGCAGAGATGAACCAAACATATACTCAGTTTGTATCAAGCAGTTTAATGAAAACAGCACTTACTTTCTGGCCATTTTAATAGTCCAAAACATAAAACATAAAGATTGAACTCAGCCACAGAATATGAAACAAAAACAGCAAACAGTATACATACATAAGTGTATGTCCCCCATCTGCCCTCCCTCTGTGTCACGTTACCAAGGCTCTGCCATATCCAGGTAGAGATTAACCAAACGAATACCCAGTTTGAATCAAGCAGTTTAATTAAAACAGCACTTACTTTCTGGCTGTTTTAATAGTCCAAAATGTAAAACATAAAGATTGCACTCAGCCACAGAATATGAAACAAAAACAGCAAACACTGTTGCAGGTAGTCAAAAGGTCCAGTCCAGTGGTCAAATGCCCAGAGTCCAATGAGCCAAGTCCAGGGATCAAGAGTCTATACCGTAGTCAAAAGCCAGTCTAAAGATTCAAGGTTTCAAGGGTTCAGAAGACAGGTCAGGACACCGAAATCCACAAACCTGGGGGAAGACCATCAGCATCTACCACCAAAATAAGACAAATACTTTTCTCCCAAAGATCAGTCCCAAGGCTGGCTCCTTATATCTAGAAACACCCAGCTGCAACCTATTTCTTGCATACCTCCACCCATAATAATAATAATAATAATAATAATAATAATAATAATAATAATAATAATCTTTATTTGTACCTCGCCACCATCTCCCCGATGGGTGAGATCATAGATTCTACAGCCTCAAAAAACCCTTCTTTGTTTTTTTTTCCTTCCTAATTACACTCCCTCCCCTTCCTCATCTCTTCCTCCCAAGTTGCACTTGCTTTGAAATATTAGGGGAAAATATGCAACATTGAACAAAGAGACAAAAACACTCTTTGTTTTGGTTTTCTTTTTGTCCCTTTCCATTCCTAGTCCTCATTGTATTTTTTAGGAGCCCCCAATGGTGCAGTGGGTTAAATCCCTGTGCTGGCAGGACTGAAGACCGACAGGTCACAGGTTCGAATCCAGGGAGAGCATGGATGAGCTCCCTCGATTAGCTCCAGCTCTTCATGTGGGGACATGAGAGAAGCCTCCCACAAGGATGATAAAACATTAAAACATCCGGGTATCCCCTGGGCAACATCCTTGCAGACGGCCAATTCTCTCACACCAGAAGCAACTTGCAGTTTCTCAAGTCACTCCTGACACGACAAAGAAAAGTATTGTTTTCCCCCTTCAGATTTGAAACTCTGACTTTTGGAGTGAGTGCGTCGGTGTGCACATGTGTGTATATAAGATGGGTATGCAAACAAAGCATAGTGACTCCACGTGTGTACCCCCCGAACCCCTCTTTTTTGCCCCGTCTTCGTGACAAGGTGATCAAAAACAAACTGTAATGGGGCAGCGTAACCATGTATTTAGTTTTCCTGAAGGCAAGGTTGTGGGGAGACATACAAAGAACTCACAAAAATAATAAAAGAATAATTATGCGGAGAACACAACTGTCCTTAAAAAGAAAAAAATATGAAAAGTAGAGGGGGGAAATTTCAAAAAAAGGAAACCTA